AGAGGAGGGTCCCACATGGCGCGCAGACCTCTCCTGCCGCCCGCTGCTCCCCTCAGCAGTGTGCTTCGGTCCTTCTACCTGCTCTGCTCCCCGCTCTGGCTCTGGTGAATTCTCTCACCCTCCCGTGCTTTTGACTGTACCCAGTGCTTGTATAAATAAATAAAAATAAATCTTTAAAAAAAAAAGTTTATTTTTGTGAATCAACAAACAACTATGAACCAGAGACACATTTTGGGGGGGAGGCGGGGAAGGGAGGGAATGGGGTCAAAATCGGGCTGCAATTGTATGGGGAATATAAAAAAAAAACAAAATAAATATAAGTTCCATCTTTAATCTGGAGGAACTTAAAAATTGTCAAAAAAAAATAAAAGTTTATTTTTGTGGTTAACAATCCAACCTAAAAATTGTTTGTAGCACACTTAAAGTTTAAAGCAAACTTCAAGATGAAGATAGTCCAGCCACTGTTAATATTATTTCTGATTTCATGGTAGCCTTTTAGAGACAGCTTTGCTATGTCATAACTAAAATTTGAGATTTATAGGATAAATACTTTGAGACAACAGAGGGACTCTCTGTTCCCAGAGTTTTCAACCAGGTTTCTGATTGTTTTGCGTAAGCCAAATGCCCCATATCCACGTGAATTATTTTAGCAGATTTAGTATTGGAATGCAAAAATCTTGTAATACTGGATAAAGCTAGGGCTAGTGGGAGGAAATATGAACTCAGAGAAGTTGAAGCATTAACTAAGCTATTCCAGGAGTTACAGCATGCCATTATAATAGGAAAATGCATTTTCCTAAGGAAAATGCATTCAGAAGAATGAAGGTGAAAATCTTGCATTCTTTATTCTAGAGTTGACCTATTGTACCTACTTCTGTCATGGAAGAGTTTAATCCAAGATTTCATTTTTCATACCTTGCCATTCTCAGAGGGATAGCATCACATGTGTAGGAGGTGGTGGTGGTGTTTTAATCTATTTTCCTTGTATGTGTAGGGGTGACAAGATAAGGTCAGTTTGGATATGGGACCCTTTAGAAAACATGGAGAACCTTGGTTGAAGGGCAAGCTGAGTGTTTAAAACATTATAGCAAACTTAAAGGAATTCTTCTCTTGTTTTTATTTTTGAATGCAGCATGCATTTGAGCAGCCCAAGGAAAATGTAAAGTGGAATTTAGTGAACTTAATACAGGAACAAATTTAGAATAGATGCTACTAATATTTTCTAAACACTCAGGTTTTAAAAAAATAAATGTGACTTTAGTTTCATGAACTTATTGATAAGTTGAATTTCTCCCATTTTAGTTAACATAAATTCACTTGAGAATCTAGAAGCACTCTGGAAGCTGTTAGAGCTACTGCAAACCACTATATAAGGATTCCATTTTAAGATCTTCCCTAGAGAGCAAATTTAATGAAAGCATAATTCTAATTTTCCTCCACCTTAATGCCAGAAGACCAAACTGACCCTGTTGGGATTTGATCCTTAAACTCAGTGATTTCTCACATGAGATTTGGACCATTTAATCGTGCTTTAAGTACTTTAGCAATGCATTCTTACGCTGTATTTCTAATCAGGGAAACATAAAACAATACCTGTTCATAAGCTGTTCTATTTTGCCTTATGATTCTCTCATTTCCTTTCATGCAACATTATCTTGATAAATTGCTGTTTTTAAAGATCACTTTTTGCCTGGAAGGTATGCAATATATCAGGCACTGAAGGTTCTTGTTGAGGTTGAAATTTTGACCACATGTTGTTTAACCTCACTGTGTGCTGTATTAATATCCCATGATATTCTGATGTGTTCTTTATTTTTAATTTGCATACTGACCATTTTAGCAAATTTGACAAAGTGTATTCTCCCAAGGATAAAGCATACTCTTTAGCTAAACTAGGGACTAAAAAGCTTACAAGAATATTATCATATGAGAAAAATCCATAAAGTACTGAAACTCTGTAATAAAACAGAAAGAAAGAAAATAGAACAGCGCTATAAGTCAGGTCACATCCTTTGAATTCAAATGTTAATTATTCCCAGTGAAAATTACTGTGGTAATTGATTTATAGAGGTTTGTTAAAATTTGAATCACTTACCTGCATTCATCCCTAGAAATCCAGCTGTAGTTTAAGGAAAACTTACATGGTAATTTGTCTGTACTTATTACACTTGGAGGAACACTTAAAAAACACTACACATAAACAAAAAACAAAGCAGGCACATTGCTGTGGAGTACAAGTTCCTTAGAGTGACAATAACAATTAGTATAAAAAGAGCAGTGTTGGCTCCACTGAGGGAAGACTACTATTTCCTCAAAAACAAAGGAACAATTTAGAGAAAAGCTATTGGAATTAGTCATCGTATCAGTATGTTGATTATTAACTAATGCCCTGAACTGACTTTGAAATAACATTTGGGTATAGCAGTGTTATCATGCACTGGCAAGTGATGAGGAAAAAATTCTTTATTCATTTCTAGTTCACCTGACTTTTTGTTTCATCTGTAACATTTTTCACACCAAGAAGTCAAGAAAACACCTGTCCCTCTGTTAATTTTTCTACTGTATTAGATTTATACCTCTAGTAGAGGATTTTCAAAACTACTTTCTAATTGTCAAGCACAAATCTCAAATTCATTTTTAAAAATAAAGTTAATGTCATGCCCAAAGTCATGGAGAAATTTAGAAGTGGTGTTTAAAATAGAAATTTAGACTACTGACTTGAAACCCCATGCTCTGACCACCAGACCACATGCCTGCCCAAGGATACTTAGATTTTTTTACTGAGTTATTCTTCTTTGTAATTAGATGCAATGATTAGAGTGTCTTTCACATTACTCTGCATTTTTCTTTTAAATCAGGGTTGTAAGCCACATAGGGCACTGTCCCTTACAAAATTAAACAAGGGATTTTCAGTCTTGCAATACAATCTCTTGATATTTGTTTATAGGTTTCACACATCAAAAAAACAAAGAAATCTGTAATTTTTCAAATTACAATCTTCTCATTCTCTAAGTTATATGCCTATGAGAATTTGAAAATCTTTTGAAGAGAATGTAATCTTTATGCTTACAAAATGTAGGCTTTCATATTTGTACAATTACAAATCAAGGCTTCCCCCCTTGCCATAATAGTCACTTTCTCAAAGTTGTGGGTTTTCCTCATTTGAAAATAAATTAATGGGAATTTAAAAATATAATTCATCCATTTTTAAAATCTTTCAACCTTTAAAATTAAAAAGCACTTCTATCCTCCATTCCTAAAGAAACAATATCAGAAAAATTCTTTATAGCACATTTTAATCTAATTTTTTTGATTGAGGAAGTAATATTAAACAGCTAAAACCAGTTTAATTTTAATCTTAAAAATGGCATAACTTTTATGTGACAGCTTATTGTTTTACTTATTTTATGACAGGCTTATATTGTGTGCTTAGATATTGAGTTTATTTTTATCAAAAACCTGTCGATTTTCAACCAAAAAAATCTTAAATTACCTCAGATGGCTTTCTAAAAAAATTTTGTATTAGTATTCAATGTTGCAAAGAACAATGATACCTTTTATACCTTTTGATATCAAGTTTTTTAAAATTAGAGTTTGATATATAAGAGGACTATTTTTCATTACCATTCACTTTAAGAAAATAATACATCATAGTCACTAAATCACAGTACCTTTAAGACAGAATTTCTACATGCTGTCATGTAATTATTTAGATCAACACCATTTCTTTGAACATGCTCTTTTTTTCTATTAATATATTATTTTGAGATGATAATGTGATCATTCCCATTTTTTCAGCCTTCCAAATCCATCTGTAGGACAGGGACTAGTTGCTGGGAGAATGGGGTGACATTATATAGACATAAGATTTGTTAGTCCCAACATAAAAAGCATGGACTTTTTGTGACGGTATAGTTTCCCAGAGAGAAAAATAGACTCATGAGCATTGGTGCCCATGCAAAGAGGTAGTTTTAAGTTTGTTTTTTTTTTTTTCAATTTTGTTTGCTTATTCAGGCTTTAATTGTATGTACTACTTCATTAATCTCTTGTTGATATAATATGTATCTTTTTTTTTTTAGTTTCAAGTTTTAAACATGTTTAGGCATATTTTAAGTTCAGAAACCAAATTAACATTAATAGTCCTGATTATACTGAAGGTCATGCTCCTGATTCCTTGGACAACCTGAACTTTTCCAAAGCAGATATAAGTAAATCATAGAAAGACTAGCTATATGTTGACATCAAAAATCTCCTTTTCGGGACTCCCTGGTGGCCGAGGGGTTAAGTCTCAGTGCTACTACCATACCTGTCTGCCCATGGCAAAGCAGTCTAAGTTCTGTCCAGGCCAGGGAGCTAACCCACATGGTGCAACAGACCTCTATTGTTTCACTGACTGTTCCCTTCAGCAGTGCATGTCAGTGGATCTGCCTGGTCTGCTCCCCACTCTGTCTATGGTGAATCCTCTCACTGCCCGCCTTTACCCCCAGCCTCTGGGCTACACTCCAGTTGTTCTACACAAAAATAAAATAAAATAAAAATCTTATAATAAAGGAATAATTCTTTTAAAAAAATCTCAATTTTATGGATGAAATGTGGTAGCTGGATTTTCCTTTAAAACCATATTTTAAGGGAAAAACAGATGGAGTATAGATGAAATAAAATTGGCTACATGGTGGTAATTGTTAAAACTAGGTACCTGGGTTACTCTACTTTTGTGTTCAAAAATATAACAAATTGTCAAAAACATGTGTATGCCCCTCAAGAGCTTGACATAATAAATATTTACAAAGCCTGATATTTATAGTATAATCTTGGAAAGTCCTTGTAATATGTAAGTTAAGAAACTTTTTTAAAAATCTGTCTTCATGATCAAAAATTACTTTGACCTCTAGATACAACTTATGATAGAAACCATTACCATATCACTAACAGTCAGGTTTTTAATAATCTTGGACTTGTGCATAAAACTAAGGACTTGTGCATAAACTTATCTTTTCCAGAGCCCAAATGGTTCTCAGCACATTTTCATTCTTGGACAAGGACTGAGGAAGTGAAGTCATGATTACTGGGAAGGTGATCAAATAACATAGGTAACTGCAGTCACCCATCTGCTGCTGGCCATCTTCAGAAAAGACTTAGGTGTAGCTCTCTTTTCAGGTTCTGGAAATGCTAGGTTTGTAGAGCTTTTAAGTGGTTCTTATTGCTAAATCACCAGTCATTTGTTATCAAATAAAATTACTCCTAGATGCTAACCTAACCAAGCCTGTTTTAGGTTATTCAGACGGCTGTAACAAAACACCATAGACTGCTTAGCCTTCAAACAACAGAAATTTATTTCTCACAGTTCTGGAGTTTAATTTTTAGATCAAAGTGCTAGAGTTGTTGGGTTATGGTAAAAGGCCTCTTCCACGTTGCAGACTGTCCACCGTTCCTGTGTCCCTTGGTAAGGTGTCTTGGTGTCTCTTTAAAAGAACACTAATCCCATACATGAGACCTCCACCCTCATGACCTAATCTTCTCCCAAAGGCCCAGTTCCTAATACAATCACCTTGGGCAATAGGTTTTCAACATAGTAATTTAGAGAGGATGCCAACATTCAGGCAGTAACAAACCCTGTAATGATTTTCCCTTTCTCTTAAAATCTAGTTCCTTAATGAAGGACACATGTATTTCCTTCCCTCTCTAGAGAACATTTTCAGGTCTTTTTCAGCTCAGTGATAATGATTCCATAAATAAGCAGTCTAATATATATTAAGTAATTAAGGTAAAATGAGTTTGAATTCTCATTTTATCTCAAGACATCATTTTAAGTGATGTGTGATGCATTCAAATAAGAGCTGATGAAAGGAAATGAGGTGACTTTTCTAGCCCAGTCCCCATGCTCTCCCACTTGAAGGGCAGTTTCCCTAAGAGATTTTGTGATGTTTGGTAGAAAGCTTTTTTTAAAAGCAGCTATATATTATAGGGCCTTAGAGGCTAGAACTTATCGCTCCATAGTACCTTTTCCATTTTCTCATAGTACTTAATAAATAATTACATTACTTATTGCCTGTTTATCTCTTGCATAGTAGATCCTAGTACTTTTCTTTGCCACTGTTCCAACACTATCTCCACAAAGCCTGATGTGAACACAAATTATTCCAGCCTGTACTGGTGTTAATCTGAAAATTTTAAAGCCAGTGTTGTTACTGAATTAAGAAAATAATACAATAGCATCAGTTCTAAGACTGAAAATTCTTTATTGTAACAAAACAAGGTCAAAATTAAGTGAGCTATTCACTTCAAATTGTGCTTTAACTCTAGTATTCATACAGTATATTGTCGTTTCCAGCTGACCCCCCAAATCCATTTACAAGAAGAGAGGTTTATAATCAAATATTATAGGAAGAGGAAATCTAATTTTGACCTTAAGTCAAATTGATGCCAAAGGGAGTTTATGGTTTTCTTTATTTTATAAGCTATAATTGAAAATACAGTTTCCTTCATCTAAAAAACTATTCCACCCTGAAATTTTCAAACAAAAATAGTTTGCAGAAACACTGGGAAAGACTTCTTCAAAGGAAACTAACTAGTTTGAATTAGAAGGAGAGGGAAGAGAAAGATGGTGGATATTTTTAAAGGGATTATGTTTTCAGTATTTTGATTGCATGAAGTCTAATTCCTTATTTTAAATAAAGCTAATAATATGATTGTATACAAGATAACTTTAAGAGAAAAAATGGTAATATGAACATTTTAAAATATTGAATAGAAATAAAGTTATCAGTAAATGTCATAAAATAATAAAACCTGTGTGTCCCTATTATGACATTAATAAAGATATAGAAATAGTAGTTTAAAAATCCATTTACCAAAAATATTTTGACTTATTTGTATCAGAATACTTGATAATATAACTTCATGTTTAATTCCAATAAGTTACTTTCTATTATGGCATGTTTCTAGGCTAAATTTTACACAATGCCTAACTTTGAAATTAACCAACCGTTGCCCCAGCTATTGCCTGTGGTTCAACATGAGACATGTCAGGATTCTAGTTTTAAGAAGTAAGCATATACTATTTTAGTAGGTGAGAAACTAGTGCAGGATAAGAAAGTAGCATTAAGTAGAAATGTCATTCCCTTTTCACCTCTCTCTCTCTCTCTCACATATATATATATATATATATATATATATATATATATTGAATTTGCATACTCGTGTATTTGAGTCAATTGAGTATTGAATATGGACTTTCATACCAAAACCGCGTTTGACCAAGGTAGCATAAAGAAATTCACCAAATTGATCTCAAATGTTTTCAGTTTTTAGTTTACTTTTGAGCAAAATATGTCAAATACAGAAATGAAGTTGCAGTAATGAGAACAGGAGATAACTGAGTCATTGGGAGTAGCCAGGTATTGGACTAGGATAGTTTATTTACTTATTTGTTAAATGAGTGTCCTCGTATTAAAGAGACAGCTCAAAGGTTCTTATTTGTTTCTAGGAAGAAATAATTAAATGCAATAAAAACACAGGTGCTGGAAAAGATCCAGGGAAGCATCACAGTTGGGAATGTCTTCTTTGTCAGGACAGGTGAAAGTGATAGATTAAGGAAGACAATTTCCCAAAGCTAAAACAGGAAAATAAAATTTCCAGAAAGTAACAAATTAACCAAACCAAAATAAAAACAATCGGAAAATAAAGAAAAAGATAAATTTCATAATCATTAAAATCACAGTGGCCACTGTGAATATCCAAGTAGACAATGAGGTGAAACTCAACCTTATTTTGATCTTGGAAAACTTACAGCACCTCAAAGGAGTAAATATTTTGCACGCCCTCTTCAGGAAAAAATTGCTTAGAGGATAATATATATGTATATATATGTATATGGAAAGTTCAGAGAATTAGAAACCTAGATTTTCAAGTAGTAGAGTTAGAATTTGTTTCCTGAAATTTGAAGGAAATATTTGCAGAGCTGTGGTATATGTATAAAACAAATGGTATTAACAAAAGTTTAAAAACTTAACAGATAGTATGTCTACCTTTGATCATTAAATTCTGCAGGGCACCATTATTCAAATGATTCCTATGTACCTTTTCTCAGAAAGAGAATATGAAGGGTTGGGCTATGTTCCTACCCAATAGGATGTAGAATCTTAACCCATTAAGTTGGAAAGGGCATTATATTATAGAAAACCTTATCAAGCTCCCTTATTTTTCACTCCTCAGAACTGAGGTTCAGAGAGCTATGAGTTATTTGTCCAATGTTATATATTTGGTGACAGACTGGAGTAACAAAATGGTTTCTTGATTTCTGGTCCAAACTTTTTCTCCTATGTAATATTGCCTAATCTGGAACACTTCTATGCCCAATCAAAGGCCAAAAATGTGTAATTCATAGCATTAATTGCTTTCCAACAGAGGTAATATGAATTAAAGAGTGTTGTCATTACAATTATTGTCATTGTGGTTGTTAGGTCTCATTGCCCTAATCTACCTGCTGGGGCCTCTATTTTAAGATACATAGACAGGTAAAGTAGGCTACTGTTTTGTAACATAAAACAACTACTTTGTGGTCCCCACAATTATGAAATTTCCTGTAGGAAAATTTCTCTTTTTAATACCTGTGTCTACTCCCATTTCCCAAAGTCATGGTATCTTACCTTAGAGAAGAAAGGAACTTGGATACCCAATTGCCCTGGGCTAACCTGGTTGGCAATTTCTTGGTGTTTTCCATTTGAGAATAAACAAAGGAAATGATCAAGGAACAAAATCTTTTAGTATATGGCTAAGCTAAGCTTATTTCATGGAGAAGATTGTCTATTGGAATGGCAAAAACTAAGAAGAATTATAATCAAGTAAATATTCTAGCTATGCAATTAGATTTTAATTATATCTGTTAATAGAAATGCTGTTTCCATATCAATAACCCCATGGGCTCCCAGAATTGCCCTTAGCATTTGAGGCTTCTGGTAGTTTGTCCTAAGTATTTTCTTTCAAACACAAGAAGAAGCTTCAAATCTATTGTTTTATATCATCTCCTTTCCATTTTTCTCTGCTTTTAGGTTTAGAATAGAGATATATAAATATACATTTAGGCCAAATGCCAAACAACCTAGTATTATATCAATAATTTTCAGCGGCTGAAGGTAGATATAATCATAGAATTAACTTTCTGACTATAAAAAGAAATGTGGGATGTAAACAAAAGTTACAGATACACTTTTACACAAAAAAATCTTAGGAACAAAAATGTAAAGGCTTGATATCATGGTATAAGAGCAGATATTCATATTTTCAATCTATTTCTCTGTGTTTCAATATGACAACTTAAAAATACTTATTTGTTTGGCATTTAAGACTATTAACTTTCACAATCTTCTCTAATTTTGTAACATTTTGCTCTTCCAATACTTCCAACACATAGGGATATTTTAATTCCAAGTTATCTCTATACTTTTAAAGTGAATATTCAAAGATAATCACTACATTAGGTTGGCCTTCACTGTTGATAGAATGCCCTTGCTTTGTTGACTGTACATGATGCAGGCATGATGGGGATGATGATGTAGGTATGTGACTGTTTAACTTTCCAAAGGCCAACGGGAAGGCTGTAGCTAAAGCCAAATAGAAATCTCGGCCAAATACCAAAGTCAATGTCAAACTTACGAAGTCTTTAGTTTAGAGATTTGTAGAACATTTCAACAAACAAAGAATTCCTAATTTTTTATGGTTTCTCTCCTTTTCCACCTTTGCTGGAGAAGTAACTATTTCGTTTTAAAACTGAAATCAGTGAATTCCTCTAAGATCCACAAGATGGTGCTATGAAGTGGTGTTTAGGAAAAATTTAAAGTCATATGCCTTCTAGGAGCAATTTTTACACAGGACCAAATAAGTACTATTTAATAACATAAAACTAGCTTTCAAAAAGTTATCTTTATAAAAGCAGTGTAAAGCAGATTCGTTGATATAAAGAAGGCATAGCTTTATTCCTAGTGTTGCTTTTTTAGTGCTTTATATCCCATAAATTACATTTTGTTAACTGTTAGTGATTTCAGGTTTTAAGATTATTTTATGAGAAGACTAAGAATTGAACTTGGATTTGAGCAGGCCTAAGTCATGATGGAAAAAGTACTGGACTGAAACAGAGCCCAAAGTTCTTATCTCTGTCCTCCACCATCCAGCCAC